TTTTTAACTTAAATGTTTGGGTAGTGCAGCCTGGACTACAAAACTGATGAAAGCAGTTCTAAAGAAAAACAGTGACTAGATATGAAACCTTGGGAAGACACACATCTCAGAGAGTATTTTTATCCCAGACCACACATGAAAACATACAACACATATGCATTAAGCATTTGTGCAGTGCAGCGTGAGTGACTGACTGTATGACAGTTTGACAGCTCAGGTTGACTGAACTCACGCTGAAAATTGCAGATGTGCATCCTGAAAATTTAAGGTCAGTTTGGTTATAGAATATAGTTGTCATTGCAATCAAACTGTGTGTGACATAACCATATTTAGCACTCTAAAACATTACTGACAACTGTATTCTGCCACTGTGTGAATGTAGCCATATCCATAGGAAAAAAAAAAAATATTGCTCAGAGTTTGATTTTCATAAGCTCAGGAGACTTGATGATAATTTTCATATAGCTCTCAATTTAGCATCAACAGTGTCTCGGATGCTTCCTCCAAATTTCCTTAGGAGAAATATAGTACCCTCCACTAATATTGGCACTCTTGGTAAATATGAGCAAAGGCGGCTGTGAAAAAAAAACTGCATCGTTGATCTTTTTGATCTTTCATCAGTAAAACAATTGAAAGTGTGGAGAAAGTCTCATGATGAAATAAATATTTTTCTCCAAAGCATGTTGGCCACAATTATAGGCACACCTAAAAATTCTTATGAGTAAAATGTCTCTGAAGTATATTCTCATTCATATTGAAATTTTTTAGCACACCAGGGTGACTGGGAGCATGAAATAATCAAGACATGACTTCCTGTTCCACAGGATTATAAATATGAGGTACACAAAGGCCAAATTCCCTTAATCATCCATCACACGTGCAAACCAGAAGCCGTGGATGACAGCAGAGGTTCGTGGGCTGCTAAAGACCAGAGATGAAGCATTCAGATCAGGAGATAAAGCAGCCCTCAAAACAGCAAGAGCCAATCTGTCCTGTGGCATCAAGAATGCGAAACGGTCATAAACACAAAAAATCAATAATCACTTCACAGACAGCAGAGACACACAGAACCTGTGGCAAGCCATTCAGCCCATCCCTGACTACAAGCCCCTGCCACAGGCCTGTGATGATGACACATCCCTCCCAGATGCCCTCAACCACTTTTATTCACAGTTTGAAATGCAGAATGACACACCTGCACAAAAACTGCCCACACCTCCCAACGACCAGGCGCTCTGTCTGTCTCCAGCCGATGTAAGGGAGACCCTATCTAGGATTAACCCACGCAAGGCTGCGGGTCCTGACAACATACCTGGCCGTGTACTGAGAGACTGTGCTGCACAGCTGACAGATGTCCTAACAGATATCTTCAACACCTCGCTGAGCCAGGCAGTCGTCCCCACATGTCTCAAATCCACAACAATCATACCGGTACCAAAGAAATCATCTGTGTCCTGTCTAAATGACTACCGTCCCATAGTACTGACTCCAATCATGAAGAAGTGCTTTGCTGGGCCTAAACACCTCCCTCAGTAATTGGATCCTGGACTTTCTAACTGGATGACCTCAGTCAGTCCGTGTAGGCTGCAACACCTCCAACACTACCACACTGAGCACAGGTGCCCCACAGGGCTGTGTGCTCAGCCCGCTGCTCTTCACGCTGTTTAACCACGACTGCACTGCCAAGTTCAGCTCCAACCACATCATCAAGTTTGCTGATGACACAACTGTGGTAGGTCTCATCAGCAACAATGATGAAACACCCTACAGAGAGGAAGTGGCACAACTGGTTGAATGGTGTGGTGCAAACAACCTGTCCCTCAATGTGAGTAAGACAACGGAGGTTGTGATGAACTTCAGGAGGAACTCTGTTGACCACCCCCCACTGACCATCAACAGCTCGATTGTGGAGAGAGTCAGCAGCACAAAATTCCTTGGAGTGCACATAACAGAAGACCTCACCTGGACCACCAACACTACATCACTCTCCAAGAAGGCACAACAGTGGCTCCACTTCCTGCACCGACTTAAAAGAGCAAGTCTTCCTCCTCCCATCCTCACTACAGGGGCACCATTGAGAGTGTGCTGACCAGCTTTATCACTGTCTGGTTCGGGAACTGCAGTGCTGCTGACCGCAAGACCCTACAGCAGACAATGAACCCAGCTGCAAAGATCATTGGTGCCCCTCTCCCCTCCATTCTGGACATTTTCCTTGCACGATGCTCCAGTAAAGCCACCAGTATCGTGAAGGACCCCACCCATCCCTCCCATTATCTCTTCCAGCTCTTGTCATCAGGAAGACGGCATCAGAGTCCACTCTGCAAGACTACTCAACAGCTTTTTCCCCCAGGCTGTGAGAGCCCTCAATTCCAACTTGCTCATCCAAAAACAAACTCTACAAGTGCTTTTTTTTTCATTGTTTAACATGCAAACATTTCTTTTGTAAATTCAATGTTGCTTTCATTAAAATGTAAATCATCTGCTAAATCATTGTGTATCAAAACACTGCTCTCTTCTGAAATTTAAGAGACAATTTTCCTAAAGAGAAAATGTGAGAAGCAGGTGGAGTCAAAAGCAAAAATCTCCATTTGATGTTTATGTAACCTCATTCCAGGTCTAGGAGAAACATTTAAGATGTTATAGAGATTTCATTTTTGATTTTCATTCATTTTTTCTTATGAAACACCACTAACAAACACAGAACCACATCTTATTACAATATCACTAAAATGCAAGTATATTAAAACAAACAATTTGCTGACTTATGTCCAACCCCAGCATGCCCATCCTCAGGCTTTCTCAGCATTTTAACAGCACTGTCACAGACATGCTCCTCAGACCTTGAGGATGCAGAATGAATTCTCTTTCAAAGCGCTCGCTTCAAAGCCGAGACATTTTGAACTGCTTGCTCGAAAACAGCTCTCAGAATATAATTTCCACAGATGAAAGAGACGCCGCTAATCTTACTGAGGCAAACGTTAGAAACATTCATCACTTCTAATGTTAACATCCTGCAGAATAACAGCAAGCAAAAGTACAAGGTGCTTGATTAAATCACGGCGAATGATGCCTCGTTTCTTGTAGATGTCAGAGCTGAGGTGAAACATCCGATCAAAAAATGGGTTCGACATATGAAAATACTTAACACACAATGCACAATAGAGTAGTACCTTTAGTACTTTTACTAAATTGCTGCTAATTTCATTTGTCTTTCTCTCTTTTTCAGTTCCCAGCAGATAGGATGATTTTAGCAAAGGATATACATTTGGTAATGATATATGTTCTTATTCTTTATCAACAGTAGACCTATATGTTACCTGTCTCAAATAGGAAAGTATGACATCATAACTGTTGAGTAATGTGAAGCAACAGCAATTACAGTCCAGCAGCGTCTTGGCGCTTTTTATGCTTTGTCCCTTTTTTTCTCTCTTTTGCATGTAACCGGTAAGTATATAAATTTAGCTCATAACAATATTTTCCTCTACAGGGTTCACTGAAGACATTACTGTTATCTTGCTTATTTACAGCATTCAATAAAAATACCCAGTATTCAAATACAATACATAAAAGTGTAGATTGTTATCAGTAAACACAATGATATGATATTTTTGATGTTACACTATTCACTATATCAAATTCAAGAAGTGTTCTGTCTTATTCGTATAATGCATTATATTAAGAACTATTTTAATATGACAAAAACTATATGCATTTAAGTGAATCACAGAATAATGTTGCTCTTCGTTGCTTTTAACCCTTTTGAGTATATGCAGACTGCCTATTTACATGGCCGTGACTGAACTAAATTTAACACAAGATGCAAACCATGTTTGGGGAAAGTTTAGAAATTGATGTGATTTCTCTGGAATTAGTGGGAAAGAACTGAAAATGTTAAATTTTTTAATTTTTACACTAATTACACTTCCTCAAACTCATTGGTTGATTCAGTGTTGCTGTGCCGGGTTGCTCATATACAGAGCAGTATTGCAATGGTTTGATAGAGACATAGTATTACACTTCTTTGATAGTATTACACTTCTTTGGAGAAATCAAATGTTCTTACTTCTAGTGGAAAGCCTTCCCAGAAGAAACTGGTATAGCAAAAGGAGAAATAGTTCAACAAATTATAGTTTACCTGTAAATGTAAATCTTGAAGGGATGAGTTTAGGAGGGAAGGGGAGGGTTGGGTTCGAGAACCTGAAACAAACAGAGCTGTGAAGTTTGGATCAGTATACAGTAAATGAGTAGACAGAATAATCTGATTGGTTGAGGCATGGCCTTACTCCCAAACTTTAGCTAAATTGTTAACTTCATTGTTAAAGAAAACCATGCAACAACCCCCTTTTTTTACTCAAATTAAATCAAATCAGATATTGAATATTCTGCATACAGTATAATTCAAGAAGGTCATTACTTGCCATTAAGGCAGAGGTGACACATTACAATTGTAATGACCACTGAACTCATTTGTCCTACAGCGTTATTCCATCTTCTCACTGCAATCACGTTGAACTGATAGCAGCTCCAGCGGTATGTTTTCCAAATAGCCTGACATGTTCATTTGAGTACAATTACTTACACCAGTCAGGTCTGCTGCAGACATTTGTCACAGAGGCATTCGCATTACTGGATTAATTCCTCGCAATTTGCCTGACATGTATTTTCCCTCCCCGTTCCCTCACTGTGGCACCATTGTAAGCTCTGGACCTTCCAGAAGACATGAGGCTTCAGGTCTTTTGCCCCTGCAGGTCTCTGTCGTCCTCTGGTCCTGCAAAACAACTGCTGTGGGCTTCTGGATACTCCCAGTGGCACCTGGTTTTGAGGGGGAGGGGAGGTTAACGTTTTTGATTAAAGATTACGAGGGCACATGAATAAAAAAAAAATAATGAAGTGCACGGATAAATTATTTATAATAAACACTACAGTATTCCATTAAAAAATAAGAATTTTACATTTTGATTTCATGGTGACACCTACCTTAAATACCTCTTTTGCACAGTATCATGCACAGTTATTATGTAAAGTACTTGTATAGTCTGTCATAGGTTATGCATATGTATAGTCAACTATTTATAGTATATGTATAGTTAGATTACCGCTTTCAGTAAGTTAGTTATGTATATGTTTAAAAATTGTTCTTACTTCTAGTGTTGTAAGTTTATATTTATGTTTATTTATGTAGCACTGTGGTCCTGCGAGACACGACATTTTGTTCCACTGCATGTCCACACATGACTTGACTTGAATGTAAATCTTGAAGGGATGAGTTTAGGAGGGAAGGGGAGGGTTGGGTTCGAGAACCTGAAACAAACAGAGCTGTGAAGTTTGGATCAGTATACAGCAAATGAGTAGACAGAATAATCTGATTGGTTGAGGCATGGCCTTACTCCCAAACTTTAGCTAAATTGTTAACTTCATTGTTAAAGAAAACCATGCAACAACACACTTCTTTGGAGAAATCAAATGTTCTTACTTCTAGTGGAAAGCCTTCCCAGAAGAAACTCGTATAGCAAAAGGAGAAATAGTTCAACAAATTATAGTTTACCTGTAAATGTAAATCTTGAAGGGATGAGTTTAGGAGGGAAGGGGAGGGTTGGGTTCGAGAACCTGAAACAAACAGAGCTGTGAAGTTTGGATCAGTATACAGTAAATGAGTAGACAGAATAATCTGATTGGTTGAGGCATGGCCTTACTCCCAAACTTTAGCTAAATTGTTAACTTCATTGTTAAAAAAAACCATGCAACAACCCCCTTTTTTTACTCAAATTAAATCAAATCAGATATTGAATATTCTGCATACAGTATAATTCAAGAAGGTCATTACTTGCCATTAAGGCAGAGGTGACACATTACAATTGTAATGACCACTGAACTCATTTGTCCTACAGCGTTATTCCATCTTCTCACTGCAATCACGTTGAACTGATAGCAGCTCCAGCGGTATGTTTTCCAAATAGCCTGACATGTTCATTTGAGTACAATTACTTACACCAGTCAGGTCTGCTGCAGACATTTGTCACAGAGGCATTCGCATTACTGGATTAATTCCTCGCAATTTGCCTGACATGTATTTTCCCTCCCCGTTCCCTCACTGTGGCACCATTGTAAGCTCTGGACCTTCCAGAAGACATGAGGCTTCAGGTCTTTTGCCCCTGCAGGTCTCTGTCGTCCTCTGGTCCTGCAAAACAACTGCTGTGGGCTTCTGGATACTCCCAGTGGCACCTGATGGATCGATCTGGCTCCGGCTGCCCTGCCTTTGGTTGGTTAAACTAGTGTGTGCCCTTTAGCTATTATGGCAATAGCTTCTTAATGAACCTCGCCCTGTAGGGGGAAGAGATTAATAGTATTGGCGACTGTGCATTACTTCAGCCTGCTCTCACAGAGCTGATACCATTCTTAAACTCAGAACACGCAGAAGAGTTTAAGGGAAGGTTGAGTGCTCGCATTCTAATCATCTGGACAAATGCACTGCTGCAGGCCAAGGGTCTAATAGGGAAAGTTGCAGGCTATTAGTGCCAAGAGAGAGGGTTTTAGATAAGCAGTTTGCACTAGAAGGTGCCATGGAGTGACCGTCCCACCTTGGATCAGCGCCACAATGTCCCTTCGATCAGTGCCCTGCAGGCCGGTTAACGATGGGAAAGGAGGGCCGTCATAATGAACATTGCTGGCAGTGATGAGGAGCACTGCACAATGGCGTCCTCGTAGGTCTAGAGAGGGAGAAACCAGGGTACAAAGCTGTCGGACCTGCCCCCCGGAGATGGGAGAATGCATTGAGACTGAATTGAAAAATAGTAGTTTGAGAAAGTACAACCATGCCATATGGCAAATGAACTTAGCATGAACTTACTTTTTAAAATTAACTTACTAAATAATAAACTAATTAAATAATTAATAATTAAATAAATGCATAAACAAATGATTAACTAATAAAAAATTTGTTTGATTGAACATGGAGAATCTAAAATGAATTATGAAATGAATCTAAAAGAATTTCAATATTTATTTTGTTTGATGAAGTCATGGTGTTGGTTACTGTTTACTCTGCTTTTATTCCTGCATGACTGGACTTGATTTTCTGAGCATAACTTCTGTTCTTTCACAGAAATCATTCAAGAGTCGCTGAGCATGGGAAAGGAACTGAGTGCATATCTGTGTGAAAGCAGTGGTTAATCGAAAGACTTTTCCAGGAAGGTTTGATCAATCTTTCCAATGTAGCATTAAATGATTATAGTAGAAATACCATCACACGCAAATCAAAATGTTGCAGTGTCAGTAGTTTACTATAAGCCAAACAACAATGGCAAATCTATGCCAAATGACACACGCTGTCATTAACCAATAGTGAAAGTCTTGTGAAAGCTTAGTGATAACTAGCAACTTATCAGTTAGTTAGTTGGTTGCTCTTCATTAAATTGTATATTCCAATGGTCCATTCAGCATATGAACATACATAAAATCATAATTACTACTTTTGAGCTCATAAGTAGGACATTCTCAAGAGGACTTGAAAGCAGCAGGGGAGGAAGGAAATAACTAGAGATGTCTGATCTTTGCCGTCTGACATCTGCGTAACATTCAACATCGATCTGAGGCAGCTTCACTGCACACATCAGACTGTGTCTGCGTTTATATCGGCTGTGTTTAATTCTGATGATGTAATAGTTTTAGATGGGTTTGTTGGCTTTGCTGTTGTCTGAACAGACAGAATTGTAAGCTGGCAGTCTGACTTTTGTGTCATACTGCACTGATAAAGCAGTTGAAATAAAGCACCTTGGACATTTTATCTGACAGTTAAACATAAAAACAATAACTGTGTTTTTTATGTCTGTCAACTCAGGGCAAACAAAAGTACACACTTACTGTAGCTCTTCTCTGTCAGCAGTGGTATCATAAATTAAGCTTTAGTTTCTTTCGTATTTTCCAGCTAATACACATGCACATTCAAGAGTAAACAAACATGCAATGCCTCAGTCTCTTTTAAATGTGAGACTAAAGCCACCAAATTCAGCATTTTCCTCTTTTATTGTATATGATAAGACGACCATACATGCCATTTTCTGGGGACACGCTCTGGCCAGGATTTCTATATTGCCTAATATAACCAGGTTTTGGCTGTTTGCGCTGCACAGATCGATCTTTGTATGACATCTAAGTACTGTGAGAGTTATAGAGAGCAGAGCAGACGGCTCCTTATGTTTTCGAATCACTCTCGAAAGAGTCATGCAAAGTAAGAAAAAGAGAAGAACATGTTCAGAAATACAGTGATTTTCTAGAATATAAGATTGATAGTTAATACAGTTTGTTGGTGTATTCATAAACAGCACATTCAGATTGGACTTGCCTTTTATTACACGAACTTTGTATCACATTTACAGCAGATCAAACAGAGGCATGAAGGTGGAAAGAACAATGCACAGAAAGAAAGAGAAGAACATATTCAGAAATACAATGATTTCCACGGTTAAAGGTTGATGCTGGAATCCAACATCAGTTAATACAGAATTCATATAAACCCTTGAGATTTTACTTACCTTTTATTGCTGTCATTCGACATTTTTCACCAAGTTTGCCATTGTTACTGCTCAAACCATAACATGATGAAAATAATCATGCAAAGAAAGAAACAGAGAAAAAACATTTTCAGAAATACACTAGATTTCCTCCTTCCCTTAATGTGCTTAAAATACACCTGCAGAACACACAATATTGGATAATCCAATATCCAATTTGTTTACACTTATTTACATTTTTTTATGAACACATTAAGTATTGAATGAAATGCAATATATATCTTGCCTTTTCCATTAACTGAGCTTGTTGCAATGCATTTTAGGATGTAGCTGAAATGAGGTGTCTTAGGAGGCAGCATAATTCAAATGCATGAGCTTGCCCAAAGTGCCATAAAACGCTGCCTCTGCAGGCGGCTAACTTGTTTTTGGAACTTTCCGTTGCATTAATTGATTTTATTGATGTAGAGTACTGATGTACAACAGTACTGTTCAGGTATTAATGAATTTGATCTCATTGCTTAACACCTAATCACCTCTGATCTAAGAGCACAGAAAAGCAATTGCACACATCAGTACAGAAGCTGAAACACTCTGGCCAGTCTTTTCAATGTACAGCTGCTTATCCTCATTGAGATTCAGAGATTCGCACGTCTCGGTCCAAGGTCTTGATTCTCATTTCAGAGCTGTTGTTTGATTTCATTCATACTTAAACTTTTATGAATTCTGTGTAAAAAAAAAGCAGTGCATATTAATGTTAATTTATTAGACAGTTCTCTGGAATACTTGATTTGTTTAGTTGATAACTGCATTATCAAGTGTTTTTGCATAATGACACAAAACTGTATAATTTCTTGCAGTACCAGACAAGAAATAAAAAAATTGCTTCATGTGTCTTGTGCAACTAATTTTATCTTCTTGCATGATAAAAATAATTAAGACCTAAATCAGAATGACATGTCTTCATTAATTGATTTGTTTGGTAAGTAGCATGCATCAGCAGGATATTATATAGCCAGCTGACCATTATCACAAAATAATGTCAGTATTAGCTACATTTTAAATGAATGTAAGTTCCCTTTCATGGGAACTTCGAACTGCGTCCTCTAGGGGTCGCTATGGGGGAACGCCTCGTCGTGACCCGTGTCTGAAGCATACATTGAAAAAACACCAACTTGTTGGCCGGCGACAGCCATGATGTCACTACCGGTGCGACTATAGTATAAATAGGCGCCGGGAGCACACATCATTCTCTTCTTCGTCTTCATTGACTGTTTTGTTTGAAGCAGCCATGCTGCGGACGCAAGCTTCAGACGAAGAAGTGAATGATGTGTAGCTCCCGGCGCTTATTTATACTATAGTCGCACCGGTAGTGACGTCATGGCTGTCGCCGGCCAACAAGTTGGTGTTTTTTCAATGTATGCTTCAGACACGGGTCACGACGAGGCGTTCCCCCATAGCGACCCCTAGAGGACGCAGTGTCTCGTTCCCTACTCAGGGAAC